CTCCCTCCTCCTCGCCCCCCGGTCATCGTTTCTTGTGGCAACAACTGTGAGGGCGAGAAGGGGAGGGGAGCATGAAGGAAAAGAATAAGAAAATGAAGCTCCTGAGATGCGGGGAGGGGACCACTGATGATGAAGACAATTTTCTTCACTTTCGTCATTGCAATCGGAGCTCCTGGGGGAGGAGAGGGAGGGAGGGGGATGGGGGAGGGGGGAAAGGCCTAAATCCGCCAACTGAGTACACTAAATCATGACCATCCCGAAAAAACCAACCTCGTTTTCAACACAATAATCATCAATCTGTGACAGGCCACGTACAGCGCGTCTGAAAATGCACTTCGTTTACAATACGATACATTTACTCATCCAATAGGATATGTAAAAATCATCACATAAACAAACTGTTTAAAACAAAACAGGACAACGACTATAAAAACGTAAAAAAAAATGAAAAAAAAGTGGAAAATTAAGGAATGTAAAATTCTAAAAATCTGGAACTCCGCCAACAAAAATGAGGAAAGGCAAAGGTTACTCATGAGAATACAGCAATCAGTGTTGGTGCTTGTCATCTATGATGCTTTCTACTTCTACTAAAATACACTTCATAATTTTATTAATATACTTCATATAACTAATTTTAATTTATACCAATTACAGTTACCACAATCGTCGTACTGAAGTCCAATTGTGGTAATGGTAAGAAATGTATATGTCTTAATGGATCGGAACATTTCTAACCATTATAATAATATTATTAAAATAAATTTACTAATTTCTTAATATTATTTTCTCTTTTATTATTCTTCCCGTTTCAAAATAACTTTCTATTGCAGTGAATCAGTAAAATTTCAAAGGCTACGAAAATCACTAGAAACAGTGCATACTTTTTTGGCGTTTTCTTTGACGAACTTTGCGAACTTCCGCAGGCCGATAATAAATGTCGTGAACTGCAAGAAGATGTTCGAGAAGATAGGAAATTCGTTTCAGATTCGTCAAAACTAGAACTTCGAATGTCACTGCTTGATGGCCTGGTGCAGAACAAATCATCGCTATTTCGAGACTGCAACATGAATATTTACCGCTCACCGATCTAATAATCAAAAAGCCCGTCACGGTGCAGAAAAACTTCAAATTTAACACGAAAACTGAAAAATTCTAGTACAAATTTCAGTACCTCCTGGCTACTTCGTTTGTTATCTTCCATTATTTCCTTTGTCGATCCTTCATCCTCCACCTTGTTACTATTATCATCATCTTCATCATCACTAATATCAATTACGACGACGTTGCCCGGCTGTGAACGTATATTGGGTCCTATAATCAAGATAGTCAAGACTTTACGACGAAGGATGCTCAATTATTAGAGAAAAACCGTCTTTTTGGAACACAGCTTTAACAAATATCAGTCTAAAAATCCAAAAACTCGTTGATAATTTTCCAAGTTATCTAAATTTATCAAAATCAGTCAAAAGTCTGTTTGCATCTTTTTCGCCCTTCCTAATAATTAGAGATAAAGAAAATTCCCGCAAGACAACAGTGGGAAGGGAAGGCACGGGGAAGGGGAGAGGGCGAGGGAGGGAGAACCAAAAAATAATTATTTCCACAAATTTTCTTTCAACAACCATATAAAAAACTTGAACGGGCGCAATAAAACATGGAAAATTCGAAAATTTTCGCGTGTAGAGTAAAGGAGTTTTTGGTTAATCCTCCCAAAAACATTTCGAATTTAAACAAAAAAATTCGCGTGAGATGCTGCAAAAAGCAAAAACTGGAAAGTTCTGGTCCAATTGGGAGATTGCCATATCTAAAAAGTCACTTAAAAAAAGCCTGGAATTGCACCAAACTATTTTTAAGAGGATTACTCTCCAGAGCAAAGCGAATTATATACAGACAATGGATATTTGCTGGGGTATGCAACTGGTGCTGATGTGAATATTTCAGTAATAAAACTAATATTGGATTTCAACCATCACTGTTTCGGGAGGTCTTGGAAATCCTGGTAAATCTTGCCTGAGGTGCTTGGTCCACTTCCGCAAACTGATGCAACTTTCTGCGTGAGATCAACATCCTGAAAACAAAGTTTTGTATTTAAATTGTTACGCATCATCACCGGTACACACACACAAACACACACACACACACATACACACATACACACATGCACACACAAACACACACACATAAACACATACATACAAACACATACATACAATCACAGACACACAAATACACACATACAAACACACACACAAACACGGACACATAAACACGCAAATAAACATAAACAAGCACACGCGCAAAAACACACAAATACGCACACACAAATAAACACACATCCACACACACATCTACACACACACACATCCACTCACACACATCCACATACACGTCCACACACCCACATCCACACAGACACACATATCCACACACACACACACACACACACACACACA